GTCACGCTGGCCACCTCCTAAAGTACCCCAACAGCTATTTTCGAATGCACTGTGCTGCTTGGCTTAACTCCTCTTGGTGAGACAGAAACTTCACGAGCACAGGAGTGTGTACTGATTTTATTCCCTGCTATGTCTTGGAAGCAGAGCCTGGTTGCTGAGTGGTTAAAGACATTTGTACAGAACTCAGGGAGGGGTCACAAGGTGCAAAGGCCGGGCACGTGGGACCTTTGTAAATGGCCGTGTGTCCAGCACTGGGCCACACACGGTACCGGAGGCCACTGCTGTGCTCCTAGTGTCCCCTAACCCCTCTCTGGGCCTGACCACCGCGGTTCTGCCGTCTGTGCACAAACAGGAAGGAAAGGAGCTGAGCAAAGCCCTCTCTGTCACTTGCTTTGCCATCAGCCATGAAGAATCCACAGTATTATTTGAAACATTTGATAAAATAAAAAAATAACTAGAGAAACTGCAGCTTGCCCTGCTAGATGCTTTTTCTGACTTCTAAAGCATCCTGCCGCCGGCACCTACATGCCCAGCCAAGGAGGCTTCGGCTACCGCTTCTCTTCCCTCAGATCCCACGAGGGCAGGAAGAGGAGAAAACCAGGCTGTGACTCTGTCTGCTGGGGAAGGAGAGGACGGGAGCTCCTGGTCCCGTGGAAGGAGGAGGGACAAGAGGGATGAGCCTCCCGCTCATTCCTGGGCAGAATCATGGGGCCGGGAGGTTAATAATTGCACGAGTCACTAACACTTCCTTCATTTCCGGTTTCTAGCTCCACAGTTGCAGGATTTCAGCTCTGCTCTGAACCCACAGGAAGATGAGCGTGGAATGGCAATGGCTTGGGTTGGCTTTGCAGAAGGCGCGGGTCTGGAGGCGCTCTGGTGTCTTTCTGACAGTCTCGTGTTTCGTGGCAGGGAGAGCCGCACTGCCCTGTGACACACAGGCATTTGCCTCTCGATCTTTCCCAAGCCCTCGCTGCCCCTGCACGCCCCCACACTGTATATCCACTGTCACTGTTTATTAAAGATAACTAATGCCCTAAGTCTTTATTTACTTCTGTTTATTGCTATTTTAGCAAGAGTCACCAGAGAGCAGCTATGTTTCTGGTCCACTCAGGTTCTTTAATCACTGTTAGTAGGTAAAATCATCTGTGACAACTAATCCAAAAAGCAGATTATATTTATTTTGGCTACAGTGGCTTGCAATTCATTAAAATCAACAAAGCCTTTTCATTAGCCCCCTGCTGATGCCCTAAAAACAGACATTTCAAGGGTCTCCAAGCGCTGAGCCACACATACGCAGCCAAGCTAATTCTGACAGATTGTCAGCGCCATTCTTAACACAAAATCTTATTAAACTAACAAACGAGAAGCAGAACCCCTCTGCTTCCATACAAAGGCTTGATTAACATGCCTAAACTCCAGAATCAAAATCATAGCTGCGAAGCTTCCTGAATGTGGAAACAAAACAAACACAGAGACTGTCATTAGTTAAGCAAGATTTACCGAAAATTGAGACTTTTTTGTTTTGTTTTCTTTTTCTAAATGATGCGAAGAAAGGATTAGAAGTCAGAACCGCAGTGCCTATGATAAACTGTTCTGCATGAGAATCCTCCTGGCCTTCCAAAGCTGGGATGGGGATTCACCGGATCGCCGGTGGATCCCGCAAATACACTGAGCAGTGAATGGAGATTGCTCCGCTCCAGGGGTCGCAGGAGAGGACAAACGGCTGCATGGGGCTCTAAGGACAGCGCCTTGCCAGGCACTGCGCCCTTTCTCCAACCCTCACTCAGGCACCCACAGGCTGCCAGTTTTCAGGCTTGGGCTCTTCCCGGCTGCCATCTGCCTGTCCATCTCACAGGAGGAAGGGCTCTTTAACGGGGAGTCGCATGTGAGGGCTCAGAGTCAGAAACGGGACATCACGGGAAGGGTGCGCACAATGGTGAGTGAGCCATCACTGTGCCAGCCGACTGCGGTCATAATTAATGAACGTACCGAAAGGTCCGCTCAAAGAGCAGAGACAGCAGACAGTGATTTATGTTTACGTAAGAGGAGATTATTTAGCTTTGCAAGAGCTTTCCAACTGAGGGAGACATGGTGCAGTCCTTCTCCAAACCTGCAGGGCAATTCCACGAGAGAATAAGTGGATCCAGAAATAAAGGGCCAGGGAGGCAGACAGGAAGTTGTTCTCTCCCCCTTTGCTTTCCACAGCTCTGTTGGAAACCTGCTGCGTTTTGTGTATTTCCGTGGCTGCTACTGCAATGGAATGACTTGTTTGTCCCCCCAGCATAAGCCCGATCGTTGTCAAGGATGATCAGCAGAAGATGCTTCACACAAGTCTCTGTCCTAACGTGAGGGTGTGGAAGGGTGGATGGGGGAAGCCAAAACCAGCCCTCACGAGCAAGGGCCCCTCGGTTCGCAAATCCCTGTGTGCCCAGGGCATCAGGCAGCCGGGGGAACAAGAGGTCCAGTTGGCTGCCCTGAGGGTCTCTGTCCAGTAGCCCCTCCGGCCAGGACTTCAACTTCTTCCGCTTCATTCCACGAGTAAAAGAGCTGTCTGCTAGAGCAGATAATAAAATCCAGCCTAGAAGGAAAATCCACATCCAAAGCTTCTCTCCAATCAGAGTCTGGTCCACAGGGAGAAGTGAACCACATCTGATATACAAGTTGTCATTTTGGCTCTCCATAATTAAAACTATTGTTGCCATGGCGATCCAAAGAGCGCTACACATAGACGCAAGGCTAATGTCGTGACTTTGTTATTGTTCATACAGTTTGCAGCCTCTGCTTGGGCTCATGGACAGCAGGGCAGAAATTCCCTCAGCAAACAGGGAAGCCAGATGGGGAGAAGAGAGGGGATCTCAAACTCCATAGGTGCCCAACACCATTTCCAGGGGCTCCCCGGTCCCTGCCCTGCCTTCTCCATGCAACAGATGATAGAGGGCACCATCTTCCCCATGTGGATCCACAAACAGCAGCTCCCCACACCCCTAAGCTCCCTGAATCTCCCCTCAGTCATCTCCCCAGCTGCCCCTTCCAGGGCATCAAAACAGGTCTCTGCTGAGTGTCCGTACCCAACACGAGGGACCACACGCCCCCTGCAGGGAAGCAACGACTCCACTCATTTTGTGACTCCTGGGGGATGTCCCGGCAGCCTCTGTGACTGCCATCATGAACACTCGCCACTGGTAAGAGCTGTGGTCGCTGGGGAACTGTCCAACTTTCACCCTGCCTGGTTCTTCTCTATGAAGCAGAAATGAGCCTTTAGGTTTCCTTGGGCTTGCGCAGGGGGTCGGTGGAGGTTTTTGGCTGTTTTTGAAAATAGGCTCCCTCTTTTCCTGATTTACTCAAACTGAGCCTGCTCTTCTGTGTTCAAAATCCCCTTGGGGGAAATAATCCTAGCCCAAGCTAGAGCAAAAGGCCACACAGGCTGTCCTGTGGCCTGCTCCCCGCCGTCCAGGCTTGGTTCTGCGGGTGCAAAGCCGGAAAGTATGGACCGGAGGCCTCCCAGGCAGCTCTGTCCAGGGTCTGGGTGCACTCAGGGAATGCCAGGCAGGCAGCAGCTTGAGGGCTCCTGCTGAGGCCCCCTGGGTTAAAATCAAGTCTGACGTCGAAGAACCTGAGGAGGTGGAGGGTTTGCTTTCTGGAGTCAAACATGTGAGGCCCCGAAGCCCACACTTAAAGGGCTTGGATATGCTCCTATGGCAAAGAAGGGCGGAAATGATGCTGACTTCTTAATTTATTCTATTTTTCCCCTGAAAATATAGGAGAAAAACTATTTAAACCTCAGGCAAATGTGCTGGTTACTTTTCTTTTGGTCAGAGAGGAAATTGCATTTGCAGCAATGGTTTAGAGATCTGGAAAAATTACAACATTTCACTCAGAGCTGGGCACAGTGGCCCGAGATGGTGGAAGAAGCACACACTGCTTTCCCTGGGGGCTGAAGGTGGCAGCAGAGGTGACAAATGGCAGAGCAGGGAGCGTCCCCCTGGACAGGTGAGTGTGAGTGCAGGCAGATGGTGGATGACAGACACGCCTGAGGCCACAGCACTCTGGGTGACTGAGGCAGGAGGGCTGTAAGTTCAAGGCAGCCTGGAAAACTTAACAAGATCCTATCTCAAAAGTAAAAAAGGATTAGGAACCACTGCAGCTCAGGGTGAGGGTTCAATCCCTAGTAAACACACACACACACACACACACACACACACACACACACACACAAAGACTAGCTCAGGACAGCCACAATTTCTGCATGTCTTAAACTCTGTCCCACTAGAATACACCTTGTTGGGGATTAGTGTCTAGAGAGAAATTCCCAAATAAGCTTTTACTAAAAGCCTAGATGCTTAGAAATGGCAACTGCTTCTTTCTAATTCCAAAAGCAATCTAAGCCATAACCCAACAGTTCTGCTCTCTGATAACTGAGTAAAATCTAATACTGTTCCTGAAATTTTATAGACACTCCTGTCTTCCCAAGTACATGAATAGTGTATATACACTCTTCAAAGGCTCCATTTGTCTCCTTTGTAGCAAAATGGCAGGCGCCGATGGGAGAACAGTGCCCGGGGCGATGTTCCTTTCCCACTTAGAAGCCACCTGCTAATCACCTGCAAGTCATCACGGACTACAAGGCAGGCTGCCCGAGATACCCCACGCAGCCCCGGAGGGCCAAGGTTCAGCAGAAACAAAGCGAGGGAGGCTTTGGCGGCCAGAGGGAGCTCTGCCAACTGACCAGTGAGGAGGTCCCCAAGGATGGGTTCAAGGGGCTGAAGAGCAGCAGCTGAAGATCAGAGGCAACTTGAAATGGGCCAGCGTGCTGTGCGTGTGAAGTGGAAAGAAAAAGAATAATCCTTCTGAAAAGGTAACACTGTCTCAGGGCCAGCGACATCTTGGGAAGTAACTTGCTCAGGCCGTGGACTGCGAGGCCGAGTGCAGGACGAGTCGATCTGTAGAACTATGGCACTGTGACGCACCGTAGCGGGCCGGGCCACACTGGATCCTGCAGGCACTTTGCAGTGGGCCACAGGACCGTGAAGGATGACAGGAGCCAGTGAGATCCGGATACTCCTCCCTCCTTCGACCCAAGAGAACACAGCAGACAATGCAAAGAGCCTTAAAGGCTTAGAAAACTGTAGCTAAGAGGCACTAAGGGAGAAGAGTTTAATCCAGTTCCGATGTTTAACAGAGAAAGAGTGAGGGGTTTTCATGGGTCCAATCTCAAGCATTCTTTTGAGGAAGGAAAGGAACCAAAGTAGTGTAGCATAACGCAGCCAGTCTGGAGGGTAAGGGCCTGGTCCCTGCTGCTGGCTCACAGTCGCCCCCTCCTGTGGTCGTCCATGAAGGGGGATCCCCCAGAGCCCTTACGCAGGAGTTTGCAGAGCAGCTCTGCATTAAGACTGGCTGGCTCCGCCTGATGCTTGCCCTGCCCCGCACTTCCTACGCTGAGGCAGTCTCCCCCTCTCCCCCGCTCCTCCCCGCTCCTCCCCCGCGTCTCTCCTCAGATGTCTCATTCTGCTCATTCATCTCACTTCTCCATTTCAACAACAGAGAAGGGAAAAGGGCGCGCATCTCCGTGCCCAGGTGACATAGGCGGCCTCCCCTGCCACTCCTTTGTCACCCCAAGCCAGCCATGGCCCAGCTTCCTGGCCCTTCCCGTCCTCATCTTCCCACGAATTTCATTTTGGAAGACTTGGTCAAACACACAAGCAACTGATCCCTCAGAAGGCTTCTCTCTCCCCGGCTGGAATCCACGACCCACATGCCACACCTTAGGCTACTGGATGACACCTTGAGTCATGAACTGCAGGATTTAAAACAGTGGCCTCCCGAGTGAAAATCCAAACCCAATAAATCCAAACCCAATAAACTGGGCACAGGAGCTGTGGTGAACACACGCAATGCAACATTACCCTGCCTTTACAGGAAGTAGGGTTCTGATGCATGCTACACGCTACACGGAGAAGCGCTGCAGACACTGTGCTAGTGAGTTAAGCCAGATGCAAATGGGAATCAGTGTCTGATTCCTCCTACATGAGGTCGGTAGAGTAGCCAAACCCAGAGGGACAGAAGGTAGAAAGGTACATGCCGGGGTTGGAGGAGAGGGAAGTAGGGACTTCCAGTGGGGTGGGTAGAGTTTCAGTTTGAGATGACGAAAAGGTCTATAGATGGATGGTGCTGATGTCTACACGGCAGTGTGAATGCACTTAATGCTGCTCAACTGCATGCTTAGAAATGGTTAAAGCAGTGAAGTTTCTTACAGCAATAAAAAGAAAGTAGTAGTGGAAGACAGCTTCTCCCCCAGCCTCAAATCTGCACATGAATGTCCAAGTCGCACCTGAATCAGCCTGACTGCTACATGGAAGCATGGCAGGCTCCATCCACAGGTGGTGGTGGAAGTTGTCACCTTCATTTTTCTTCCTCCCTCCCTCTCTCCCTCCTTTTCCTCCCTTCCTTCTTTCCTTCCCTTCTTCTTTCCTCCTAGAAATACTTATTGGTCACCTGGCTCCTTGGAGGCACAACCCTGGAACATGAGACTCAGGAGAATGCACAGTCTGGAGAAAAAGGGGCCATGGAGACGTAACGGTGAGCAGCCTCCAACCTAAGCCTTGGATGCCTGCGGTGGAGACCTGTGTGCTGCTGGGGCTTGGAGGAAATGTTGAGGCTGAGACCTGCAATTTGCACAGCCATGAGTTAGACAAAACCCAAGGGGTGTGCAGGACATTCCAGATGGAGGGGAAGAACGTGGGGCCTCGGGGATCACACAGAGGTGGCTGAGCTCTGGGTCCAAGGGCAGAGAAGCGCGGCCAAGCTGAAAGGCACGCAGAGGACAGAAGGTGGAGTCCCCATCCCTCTTTTCTCTTGCATCTTTAATCTCTCCTCTGACCTATTTCCCTCTCCCTTGCACAGTCTCAGGTCTCTGCTGCATCCACACTGCTTGGCACATCACCAATTCATTCCATCTAATTCAAGTCTGCCCTGCAGCTCGAATACCGGGTGATCCACATTGTCAGCTAGACCAAGCCTGGGCTCTTCCTTTATAGGCTTGCTGGGAATTCCTGTCTCCTCCCGCCCACCCTCTGCCTTACATCCGGACTCCTTCTGGATCATCCCTAGCCTCGGCTTAGCTGCCCACAGCTCTGTTCCTAGAAGGAGCTCCTTCTCCCAGTCTTTGCTAGGGATGCTGTCAAGGATCTGGGAACTGCTAGGAATTGCAAGACACAGTCCCTGTCCTCCTGGAAATGTCAAACTAGTTAACAGCATGTAGAGACACATCACTGAAATACTCTGTTGTCAGGTGCAAGTCCTAAATGGTACCAACATACACATCACCACACAGCTTTTCTCTAGCCCAGGAGGTCGGGAAGGGGCATGGAAAGGAGCTTTAAGCCGAGCTCTGAAGATGAGGAAGTGGACTCCGGGTGCCAGAGGCTCAGGGAGGAAACGCTGAGCAGGAGGAACGGCGTTGCCGGTGGGAAGCACCTGGAGCCCATGGCGATCGCTCTGTGAGTGAAAGGGAGGAGGTAGATGTGTGAGGGACCCTGCTGTGGGGAGTTTCACTGGGCAATCCAGACAGACGATGGGGACCCACATGCTATTTCAGGGGAAAATGACATATGAAGCGATGTTAATCTGGGGGTGGAGGGAGGCTGGAAAGCCGAGGGGCTGAAGGGCGAATTCAGTCGGGAAGCATCCGTCACCATCTGGTCCCAAAGCGACTGGAGGAGGTCTGTGGGTGGATGTTCTGACATCATTATAACTTCAATTGTACATATTTATGGGAGACAGTGTGATAACTTGATCTATGCATTAGAAGGTACAGTAATCAGAAAATAGTAGTATTATTAAGCATTTAGAAATTTTTGATAATGCATATTTGTAAATATTGATAGGATATAGAGTGATATTTCAATACACGCATACGATGTGTAATGATCAGATCAGGGTAATTACCATTTCCATCTATTATCATCACTTTATATTTGGAGGGATCAAGCTCCTGTCTTCTAGGAAAAAGGAGTATTACAGATGCCACGCACATTCCTCCTGATCCCCAAGTAAGAATCCTTGCTCCCTTTGTCTCATCCCCAATAATTTGGAGGGTGTGCTTCTTGTTCTTACTGACCTATTATTTAGCTTTGTAAATTCCACTGTCATAATTTCCTTTCCCTTCACCTTAAAATTCCTTTTTATGGCTGTAGAAGTAACACTGATTTATTATAGAAAATTTGATAAAATTTCAAGAAAATAGTTCTCCCTTCATATTAAAAAGACTTTTCCTTGACAGAGATTCCTGTGTTCACCGCCACCTTCCTGACTAGTCTATGAAGTATGGAATCAAGATCATGTTGAAATAATACATAAAAGATTTAGACTAAAATGAATACTATTTTTCTTTCTTTCAAAGAGAAGCCAATCTAATCAAGACAAGAAAATGAGATGCCACAAGTAAAGCAAAATAAACACATTTGACTACAGCTCTATGATGAAAGGTAATAGGAAGCAAAATTAGAAGGTAAAAATAAAATAAGGAGACTTTTTGTAACACATTTTTAAAAAGGAGGTTAATAGTCTTATTATGCAACATGTTTCAACAACCAAGGTAAATGACAAGTATATTTCAACAGAAAAAATTGGCAAGAGAATATAGCATATAAATTAAGAATAAATTAATTAAGAAGATTCAGATGTTCAATGAAAATTATAAAATATCCTCAGTTGCATTAATAATTTTTAAGATGTAAACTGAAATAGCTGTAAGATACTATTTCCCAATAATAAGTTAGAAAAAAAACTCTAAGAGAATCATAGTTAATGAGGAATTGTTGGTGGAAATGTAAATAGGTCTAATTTCTTAAGATCCATTGATCGTTTCCTATAAAACTAAAAATGTAAATATGTTTTGGCTCAGCAATCCTGCTCAAGAGGTGTCCTACAGAGACATGGTCATGAGAATACTATTTACCTAGTACTACTGAAAGCCTCAATCAATCAATTAATCAATCAATCATCAATCAAGAGGATAAGCAAGATATCATTGCCAGGAGAGAAATAGTCAAATGTTCTACATCCCTTTAAGGAAATGCTAAATAGGTACTCACCTAAAAAGATGTATACGTTTAACAGCTAAACTGAGGATCTATATATGCTGTAGTTTCATTGTTTTCAGTTAAAAACTAAACTAGCTAGTTATGTAGATAGTCTCTATGAGCACTGGAATTTGTGGAAATGAACATTAATAGATTGGGAATAGTGACGACTTCCAAGTGGCTAAGACGGCACAGACCAAAGAGGCTGGAAACAACCAATTCTCTCTGCCTTTTCCCCCCTTTCAGAATATTTCTTTAAACCTTACCGTATCTATCTTAATCTTCAGCATTTAGCATTCCTCATAGTAGATGCTCAGGAAATGCTGGTGAAACAGAAGTGCTTTGGCAACCACCACGAACACTTAGCAATCTACCAGTTTCTTCCACTTGAGCACAAAGGACACCCATAGGTCACCTTTTGCTGGGTTATGTGTGACGTTTCCTGTATAATGATTAACAGCACCCCCTTTTGGTTACAAAGTGGTTCAATTTGGACAAGCACAGTTCCTCTGCTTGGCCAAAGCTCTAAACTAAGAACTTCAGCTTGACCATCTTTGAAATAGGATCAGGACGAATCCCTTATAAGGCTGCACCCAGCATTAGATGGTTCATTATATGTAGAGGACTTAAAAAGTATGGGGCACATAAAAATATCGTAGAAGTGTTGGCTATTATTCTACTTTCCAAATTTTCTATAATAAGCACACAGTCATGTGCCACTAAAGATGTTCTGCCAACAACGGCAGCGAATACAACGGTGGTCCCGTCAGCTTAGAATGGTGCTGAAAAATTCCTGCAGCCAGTGATAGAGCCATGAAAGAGTCTGGGTGCAATCATTACTTATGTGTTCAGTGATCTGGGGGTAAACTTACTGCACCAAGAACTGTATAAAAGGATAGCACATATGATTCCGCACAACTCGTAGTAACTGACAATAATAGTAACGGACTATTTTTCTTTTTGTACCAGGAATCGAACTTGGGACCTTGCACTTGTGAGGCAGTAGGCTGAACCACTGAGATAAATCCCTGATCCAATAAAGGACTATTTTACTGGTTCATGTATCCATTAGACTTTTATCATTATTTTACAGTGCACTCCTTTCTATTAAGAAAATGGTTGGAGCCGGGTGTGGTGGAGCATGCCTATAATCTCAGCACTTGGGAATTGGAGGCAGGAGGAATGCTGCAGGTTCAAAACTAGCCTGAGCTACATAGTGAGACTGTCTCAAAGAAAGTCAAAAATTGAATATAAATTTAAATTTTAAAATGTTTGCTGTAAAACACTAGGCCGTGTTTGCCATCTCTCCTGACTGCATGGAGCCACGTCCGGGAACTGACTCGCGGCATGCAGGATGACGTCAGAGCAGGCTGTGATGCACACACATGGCGAAATCCTTTTCCACAGCACCCTCTCCCCACCCCATGGAGCAACTCATGGATCTTGGCCCATTGCAACGATCAAAAGTATTTAAACAAAGCCAGGGCTCTCTGTGATTTCTAACTCATCTCTAAACCATTTTCCTACCTCCATGCCTTGCACATCATTGAGATGAAATCATTTCTTCAAGGTCACGCCAGCTTCTGATATTTTTCCATTTGGAGTTCCCAGTTCTTTCTCCACCTCCACATCCACCCTCATGTTGGTCTGGTAAATTTTAACAATCAGCTTTCAACTGAAAAGAGTCCCAATGTTCGGCATTTGCCAGCTCCGTGGCTGAAGTACTCCCTCTGTGGCTAGTGCCAGCCCCCAGCTGGAAGCCTGGTGTGTGGTGCCGGGGAAAGAAGCCAGCCACCATCCCACCATCCAGAGCCAAGGGCATCAGCGACAGCAAGTGTGGCCAATACTAACCGAGAAGTTGAGTGTTAAACACTCATCACTTTCATGTTAATGTAAGTGATGTAGTGTAAGTTTGTGTCATTTGATTTTCAATAATAACAACCACAGCTCACATAATTCCTAGAAATTTACCAACCTGCTTTCTTGGCAGGTGCAGGCTGTCAGATGCCAGTGACTCCTCTCCCTGAGTCTCCATTCTTGCTCCTTCTCCTGGTCCCCGGGGCTCCGGGTGGCCCCTTCTTTCCTGATGGTCCCCTGCCCTCCAGGCCTTCTTGCAGCGGACAGCGCTCCATGTCCCCTGTCCCACCCTTCCTGCCTCAGCACCTCTGCATGGGTATTTTAGTATCCTTGCCCCGGGTTATTTTGTGTATCATCCTCTCTCTCAACTCCACATTAGATTGTATTTGTTTTCACCAGTGAGAACCAACTGAGGAAAATGGGGACATGGTGTATATTCGAGACAGACTCGATACTCACTCCCAATGTCTACCTCACGTTAATTAGAGAACCACTATTTTATACACTACAGATTTCAGCACAGTGAATGTCTGCCACATAGTAGGTGTTCACTAGTTACTTATAAATTGAAGGATGTGCTATTTAAAGAAACTAAAACTCTGAACTAATTCAGTCATTAGTGAAAAGCACAGATGCTTTGTCAAGGTGGGCACAGTAACACACCTGCACTCACCTCAGAACCCTCTTCTCAGATGTGCTGGGCTCTCCTCCCACACACATCTCTTTTTCAGCAGCCAGCAACTGAGGGTCCTACAGTTTAACTCAGTGCCAACACTACCTACCTGGAGAGAGAGTCCTACCCCACATCTTTAGTGCCCAGTCCCACAACCCTGGCCCCACACCATTCAAAACTGGTTGGCCACCCCCAAATTTTGGTTTGCCTTGCCTATAAATTGGAGATTTCCATGACCCCACTCTCTGACTCCATTAATTTGCTAGAGTGGCTCACAGAACTCAGGGAATGTCTACCAGTTTATTATATTGATAAAGGATCCAGACGGACAGACAGAGGAAGAGGCACATGGGGAGAGGGATGCAAGGGGCAAAGAGCCTCCACACTACACTCTCTGCACGCCACCCGCTTCCGGCCCTCTGTGTCCCATCATTCAGAAACTCTCTGAACCCGAAGCTCAGGGACTTTATGGAAGCCTCATCAAGCAAGGGTGACTGATTGCTAATTCCATCTCCGGGTCCTGTCCCCTTCCTGAGGACCTCAGTGCAGCTTCTGATCGTGGCATGGTCTTTCTAGTGACCAGGATCCCAGAAGAATCCCCTCGGGAGAAGACAAGACACCCTGCCACACAGGAAGTTCCAAGGGATTAGGAGTTCTAAGCCACATGTTGGAGCAGGGACCACATGCACACTTCTTATGATAAAAATCACAATTCCATAATAGTTTTTTGTTGTTGTTGTTTCAGAGTATTTTGTGGTTTCTTACAGCATATGTCAATGGCGGTAGTAAAGTATGATAGGAAAAAGCAAGCGAAAATGTCAGGGAATCATTTCTCTTAAAGGAAATGAGCCAATGTCTTCTACCAGGGCCGTAATGCGCAAGCACATTACCATTAAGAGGATAAAGTGGTTGATGGGTTTATTATTGGGAAAGTGAACATTTGGAAATCCCTACTGTCACATTCTTAGAGACCTTGGGGATGTGTAAACACACACACACACACACACACAAACACACAAACACACATACACTAGGTATGACCAGATCATACAGTTCCTGCTAACCATTTTTAAACTCCAAGTGTGATGGCTATGAATGAGTTTCATTAGAAATAATGGTATTTAGAGATCAAATTGGTTTTCTCCTACTTACTTTGAAACAACATCATAATTACTTGTCTCTCATGGATCTCAAGAACAAGGGAGGAAAGAAAGGTAAAGAGAGCAAGAGAACATGATGGGCTTCATGTCCCCGTGGAAATTTTGTCTTCCACTAAACCATGAAGGAGAAGTATTAGTGGCAAAGCATATAAACCTATCTTTTAGGATCAAAGTTGCTAAATTACATCCTTTCTGAAACCAGAGGAGAAACTTCAGATAATCATTGTTCAAATCCCTTTGTATTCCCTGGCACATAACTAGTCATAGAAATTCATGAAGAGGATTCTCCAGGCCTCGGGAGTCTCATTGTGGGGTTAACCCCCTGTCACTTTCCTGAATGGCAGTGGTTGCCATCGCTTTTAAGTGGCACTGATATTTATCCAGAGAGAGAAGCACAGTTTTCAGACAGTCTCTTTAGCACAAAAAATAACTCAAAATTTAGCCCCACTTAGCCAGCACTAAGCCTTCTGCTAATCCTCAGTCATAAATACACAGCATTGACAAAGACATTAAAGATGGAAACAATAAAAATAGTCAGGAAGGGCAGAAAAAGATATTCCATCTCAGTTTGCAACAAAAAAGATATTAAATACCAATGATACAAAAATAGACTTGAACAGTTTGCTTTAAAAGCAAGAGGGGGTGAGAACACCCAGACTTCCGAAGATGGGTGTCTCTGATGTCTCATTGATTAGTTGATAGGTTTGCTGGGGAACGATTAGCCGATTAGTCGGAAGGTTTGAATTAGTTCCTGGAGTTCTGCCTCCTGGGAAGAGAATGCAATGCGAGTGGAGTGGAGTGGAGTCCTCTCGCCCGCCCTCTGTGACAGATGATATCTGTTTTCTCCTGTGAGTTTGAATTTAAGAGCCACTGAAGCTCGGCAACAGTATATTCTAGCTCAAATGAGCTGAAAATTGCATTCAATTTGAATTTCAAAAATAGAGGGGAGGAAGGGGGGAAAAACTCTCCCCACCCATCAAGGCTCCACGCTTTCCAACTACTTCCTGCTGCTTCGCCTCACTCTGCCAGGCTGAGGACCTGAAACCCAGGATGTGTTGCAGGGGAAAGAGCATCACTGGATGCCTGCCCAGTCTGAGTTTAAAAATAAACTTTTAATAGTCAAGATCAAAGCAAACCTCACTTCTATGCACATGCATAATGCAGAATGCGACCCACCAAAGAAAGAGATTTAGCTGTTCCAAACTCAAACTGGACTGCTTTCTTTTTTTTTCTTGTGTACTGCAGGGGTGCTAAAGGTGAAGGTGTTTTCCCCAGGAAGCTCTAGAAAAGCCAATTCATTGCTAAATTAATATTAATTCCCATGCAGCTCACTTAAGCCCTTCATTCCTTGTTGCTCCAGACCCCCGCCTCCTTTCACCTGTCTCTCATTACAAAGCAGATGTGTTCTTGAAAAGTTGACCGAGGGAGCCATTGATTTTTCAAATCAAATCATATTTTAAATGCTCTAAGAGAGTTGGTTATTTAAAGGAATCTTGTGATAAATTATTTTATGAAGCTAAGGTGTTTTTAGTGTGCAAATAAGTGCCCCTTCTGCACTGGCCCAGTAAGCATGAATTCGAAGCAGAGCCAGGCTGTCTCCCCAAAGCAGGGGACACCTGTCCTTTTTAGGGAGTAGGTTTACGTACCACCAATATTCACAATCGAAGGGATGCTATGCAAAACAACAAATGCCATTTCAGAATTGTAACTGAAGATCTGGGGCCAGGACTTGATTCTTTTGGGAGATTTCAGCTGAAGAAGCAGAGACAGCCCTACATTCATTCCAATCTGCTTCAAACACGGAAAGACATTCTCCCCTGGCTAAATTGTTCTCTATTGCACATTAAGCAATGTGGGTGCCGTGATAAAGGCACTTTCACCGCTGAAGCACCATTCGCCATCCTGCAGCAGGAATCTGCAGATTGTTCTTCGGAAATCTGACTCTCTCAGAGCGCACCATGGAGAACACCAGGGCAGGGAGCGCCCGGGACACTGTGTGTGGCAGGTGCTGGGGTCACAATGAGTCAGTCAAGCACCCTGCACTCCCATGATCCAAGTGGGAGAGGGGGCTCTAGAGGACAGACCAAGGAATCAACGGTAACCCAGGGGAGGAGGCGTTATATGATGCGCCTTCTGAAACAGAGTCAAGGAGGCTCAACCTTTAGAGGTTCTTGGGAAGAACTGGGTGTTCAGTTGGTAGCTAACAGCGGAGCAAGAACTCTTAGGAAGTTCGCAGAAGCCAGCACCAGAGAGAGCGCTTCCTATCTGAGGCACAGGACCAGATCTAAAGAAAAGAGATATTTACTTCCTACCCATCACCAAACGATCAGAATTAAGAGTCTGAGCCTGACAAGCACAGCTTACTCATCAGTATAGCAAATCAATAGAAACGAGCAAAACATTTCCCAAGGAGCCACAGCTCAGCGTGACACACCCGGTGACGCCTAGTGTGTCAGGATATCCCACAAAATAGAACACTTTAAGAGGACTGAAATGACATTTTTGCTATTTAAAGACAGAATGAGGGAAACATCAGAACCGCTTCATTTTCTTTACTAATGAAAGACTCGCCAAGGAATCAGGGGCAGCAGATAAAGATGCCAAGGGGCAGCCATCTGATGGGTACCACAGGCATTGCATCAGAAGGGTTTCTAAAGAACATTCCTGCTTCCTAATCTTACAGGGAACAGCTTACCTTTCAAGCCGCGACAATGTTAGCAGAGGACTTTTTCCTTACATCTTCATAATTGAATATTGTTCATTGATGAACCAATCAGTTGTCAGCTCTATTCATTTATGTGACGTGAGCAAGGATCCGACCCAAAAAAGGAAAACAAAAAAAGCAAAGTCAATTTTCTCAGCCACTGCATTTAATAAAATCTCCCAGCAAAAGAGTTAAGCACACATTAATAGCTATGACTTAGTGGGCTCTGACTCTAGCAAGTCTTTGATTTCCCTATATATACACCCAAGGCGGTATTAACACTCCAATGAAGGTACAGTCCTCATTTTTATTTTACATTTTCTTCCTTCTCAGCTTTATCTGATTTATCAATCTCCCGCTCCTCTCTTATTTATAGTGAATGCTCTGGTTAGGGTTTCAAAGCATTTCCCATTATAACACCCATTTATAACTTCCAGAGGAAAGAAATCTTCCAAGACCAATGGACTTTCTACTTGTTTCACATCAGTTTCAAAATATATTCATTCCTCCAAATGGGAAGTTTGTTTCCTATTTCTGTAGTCCTTAAAAAAGATAAAAGGGAACGGGCAGAAGAACACACGTGTTCTAACTGGGAGGACTGAAAGATTCTGTTTCAAATAACTCCATCGTGGGCTTTAACCAAACGTGCACATCATTTTAGGTAAAGTGTTTGTCTATCAAAAGAAGCTTCTGTGATTGGCCTGAGATTGCCAATATTTTACTAATTTTGATCTACAAAAATGGCAATTCCATATGATTCATCTGAACGCTTCCCAAACCTTTACCCTGATAGAAAGGGTCTGTCAAGAGCAACCAAGTGACCTTCTGGCTGCCCAAGTTCACAGGGGAGACCTGTGACCAACAGGTGCCTGGGAGGCCCCTCATAATTTGTTAGGTGCATGATCTCCTGTGGAGGAATTAATTAGGCAGGTGGCCAGGCCATTTCCCACTACACTCCAGGAAACATGGATACAGCCACAGCAGACTCTGGGAGTGAGGAATGCAAGGAGAGGCTTGTGTGGGCCCTGAAGGCTCTCATAGGCTCTATACATCTACTCCCCATGGCACTTGCAGGCCACAGTTTTCCCTCTTTACTTTCAAGAAGAGAGTTTGAAAGGAAAACACTTGACAAATAATCGAGAACGAGTTTTCGGCTCCAATGTTCTCTTAATACCCCAATGCTACCAAAAGTAACCAAAATCATGCTTTGATCATTTGCTTTAATGCTAAAGGGAAAGGACTTGGGTCCTAGGAAACAAAGGGATGGTGTTGAAGTAAATTCTCACACAGAATGAAAGCTGAAGACCAGCTAAAGGCAGAGAGGAGGCTCCCAGTATAGACTGGGGTCTGGCTGCATCTGGAATCAGAGAGAGAAAGGAAGATCCTTTGCCCATACGAACTAGAGGGTGTTTCCAGGATTCTGCTGAATGAGGCAGGTGCCAGATGAGTGGATTGGGAGAACCCAATCTTATTTATTTTCTAGGACTGTGAACACGGGAGGCCTGTGAGTCAGAAAGCTGCAATCTGTGTAACTAGAAAGAAACCTGAGGAGAGAGCCCACTCAATTGGCACCCAAGGTCAGAAGCCCCAGGGAGTCAAGTTAGGCTGTTATTTCTTTATTTTTATAAGAAGGCTTAGGACTTGCGGTGTCCAGAAGGATATGGGTCAACATAAGTCCTGCAGGTGCAGATTTCCACAGCGCCGTTGCTGTCAGAGCACGATGCCAACGGCCATGACCAATGCCATTGTAGATGTCAAGAGTGAAACATATCACATGACACTCATCAAACTCTAACTCTGAAATTGATGAGCATTCAGAATAACACGGGCACTCCAATACTGATGCTGGGAACCACACCTGCAGGTTCTCTGAACGTAGGCATTTAACTCGGGAGAGACAGGGTCTGGGATGTGGAAAGACGCCAGGACGTTGGAAGAGTGTGTGGAATTTGTTCCTATTAACTCTACGAGCTCCTTCTATTAGAAACTGCAGTACACAGCTCCCTGGGTTGGCCCTCCTTTAAGTGCTGACAACCAACCCAACTACAAGATTTCTTATTCAACACAGTGGATCCGTTACTGAAGGGTGGGCTCTGTAAATAGCCTTTAGGAATCAGTTGTGGTGTAATCTGGAAGGATTTGTGAGTAACCTGGAAAACTCATGACCATTTACCCATTTTTCCCCTGAATGCAAAGATTCTGAATTCCAAACAACCAGCTGTAAAAAGTAGACTGGGTCATAACTGTTTCATAAACAAAGAATTGCTTAGAACAATGACGGCAAACCTTTTAAGAGACGAACTGCAACCGGAAACGCACTTATTTATCGCAAAGTGCCAACACTGCAATTAAACCTGAATACTGAGGTTTTAGTTTAGAAAAAAACAACTCTCATCTAACATCTTTTGTCTTAAAAAGAAATAACATGCATGCTATAGGTTCACCACCCCTGACTTAGACCTAGTTAATTACTGAGCTTGGACAGACAAACTGACAACAGAGGTATCCAGGATTAAGAACTTCCAGGTGGAGTCACTTGGATTTTGCAACTTGGGGACACCTTCCTTGGGTCTCAGTGGGAATGGTGCCGTGCACGAGGGTTACAAGTGAGACGGTGGATTCCTTTCCTTATCACACAGGATATTTTACAGTATATGAAGATAACTCCAGGGTCTCTTCACCCACAAAGTTGCTGACTCCGAGGCAACAGGACTTACACCTTACCCACTCCATCCTCTGTCACCACCACCATCACCTCTGCATTATTTTAGACATCTCCGCAGGAGGGGAGTTAGATCTGCCCTTCTGGTCCTGAGCTGGTCTAAGAATGGACATTCCAACAGAAAGAGAGGCCACTTGGCACATGGCACTCCTAAGACACAGTCACATTGCAGTGCAGCTCAACCATGACCAACACAGCTGTCCTTGGCGAAAAGCACATCTTTAATTCCAAACACTTAGGAGTATATTCTATGGGGTGGAGTTACCTGTAATCTTACACCCAGGTACAAAAGCCTGAGGTTCACACGCTTGCAAAAAGTAAATGGATAGTAAAAGTAAAGCTTTTTAAAAAGGAGGCACAAAATTAATCCTTTGATCCTTCTAAAGATAACCTCAGTATACAGTCAGGTAATAAAAGACAAACCAAAGGACTTGCTCAGCTGCCCAGATTCCCTCTGTGTATTGTTCGTGTTAGTCTAAACTGGTTTAGATTGTGTGGGTAGCAATGGGCGATCAGAAAAGTTTATTCTGGGCAAGCACAGTTTGTACAAAAGATCTACCTTAGGTTGCTGGAAGATGTGGGCAAAGACACCTTCAGCCCTGGAAGCCAGCCCTAGTGAGGGAGGAAGCAGAGTGAGATCATCCACGTGACACCCTTTTAAGGAAGAGTGTCGGAGGGTGTGCCGGTTTCATGACTGGATGGTGAGCCATCCATTCAGATCCTGTGTTACAGTGATGCATATACAATGTCAGAAGTCCAAATTTAGCTCTCCCAATATCTGTCACTTCCCAAATTCAGTAATATTGGCTACCTTCTGTTGCAATTAGAGAAATTTTGAGAAAGCTCTTCTGGGAGGACAGAATATTCTAAAAATACGTGTTTTGTTTACTAAGTCAACCGGGATTCTTGATTTTAACACTTGGCCAATTATTCTCTTCCCACTTTGGCCCTGGAAATGTACAACATTAGGAAGGGAAAGGAAGGGGGTATGGAACTGAGGAGAAAATAAATAAGTGAAAGGCTAAGAGAAATAATGGAAAGGAACAAGAATGTTGATAAAGAGGAAGCTTATAGCTTTCATTCAGATGAGCTCAGAACACCATGAATGCACCCAAGTGGCTCCACCCTCTCCTGGGTCTTTCATGCCATTCCTGCAAGAGGCAAAACTCCTGATGATGGAGACCCTGGACACGATCCACCAGCACCCTCATTTTACAAAACAGGAAAAGGAGGTCCTAGAAGGACTCGCAGCTCACAAGGTCAGGACTGGAAGCCATGACCATGGGGGACCAGCTGAACATTCTACCAACCATGGCCCCTAAAAGCAGTCACGGCTTTCCCAAGTCTTAGAAAATGGCCAATGCCACCCACGGAGCATTAAGATGGAAAATCTCTTCTTCAGGGGATCCAGAGCACCTTGCAGTATTAGAACCTGCAGGTGCAGCTGGCAGTGGACACAGCCGAGGATGACTCTGCTCCTCAGGAAACGAGGCCTTCAGAAAGAGCCTGCAGCACATGGAGAGGGACAAGTGCTCCACCCACTTGTGCCAGTCCCAACAAACCATCTGTGATGGTGATTATGGCGTAACAGTTCAACAGATTCATTAAGAGTCTCCAGTACATCAGTACACCTAGATGGACAGCTCCCTCTATCTGTAATAAAATAAACGGAATGGGATACAATACATGAGCAATACCAAGTGCTAGGTGAGAGCTAAACCCAAACCAGACGGCATGTGTTCCATCAAGGAGGCAAAGCAACAGAACGGGGAGGAAAAGCAAGTTTTACCAAGCGGGAGGAGAGCAGAGAGTGCTGAGGGGGGGAAAGCACGCAGCGGAGGCATCTGCTCAATCAGTACCTATTTTCAGAATTTCCTTCAAGCTGGCTTGGACTGAGAACTATCAATTATTTAAAGGATGTAACATGATGCTTCCTTTGTTGAAGCAAATCTGCAAGCAGACCCCGAGAGAAAATAAAAAATGAATTAGGAGGAATTTATTAGTGTGCTTGAAGAAAACAAAGACTTAGCTATTGGGATTGACTCTGCCTCAGAAATAAATAGTTCAGTTCTGTCTCCTAAACTCCACTACCCCTTTTACCCCCTTGCCTTCCCATTTATATATTTTCTACAGTAGATCATACACAAAAGGAGGGGATGAATCATTTCCTAAACTTCTCCTTTCTCTTCAGATTCAGCTTTGATGTATTATCTTGATTTAAATAACAAACACACTAATCTGTAACACTGTTTACCAAGGAGCATTTTAAATGAAAGATACAAGAAACTGCATCACTCCACATTTTAAAGATGACTTTAGACTCCGGATCTCATAAAAAACAGCCCTCAGTGTTCTCTGCT